AAAATATGGAAAAAAAATCTTAAAAAAAAAAAAAAAAAAAATGTAATAGAAAATTAAATATAAAAAAAAAATTTAAAAAAAAAAAAAAAAAATATGAAATATTTTTTTTCTTTACTGTAACCAGTAAAGTCCCCCGGTTCACCGCCCATCCCAAGTTATTTTGATGCGCTGAAATGCTCTGGTGACAGTATGTAAAAAAAAAATGGTGAAAATTTTTTTTAAATTTTTTCTTTTTCCAAAAAATTATGCCCCAAAAAAAATACAACTTCAAAAAATTTGGCCATGCCTTTTATGAAGTACGTCGACTGTCTACTCTGCAAAAGGGGTCATTTGGGGGATATCTGTACTGTTCTGACATTCGCGGGGATATCTGTAACTGTCCTGACATTTGGGGGGGATATCTGTACTGTCCTGACATTTGGGGGATATCTATACCGTCCTGACATGTGGGGGATATCTTAACCGTCCTGACATTTGGGAGGATATCTGTACTGTCCGAACATTTTGGGGGATATCTGTACTGTTCTGACATTTGGGGGATATCTGTACTGTCCTGACATTTGGGGATATCTGTACCATCCTGACATTTGGGGATATCTGTACCGTCCTGACATTTGGGGGATATCTGTACCGTGATGACATTTGGGGGATATCTGTACTGTTCTGACATTTGGGGGATATCTGTACTGTTCTGACATTTGGGGGGATATCTGTACTGTCCTGACATTTGGGGGATATCTGTACCGTCCTGACATTTGGGGGATATCCTGTACCGTGATGACATTTGGGGCATATCTTTACTATCCTGACATTTGGGGGATATCTGTACTGTTCTGACATTTGGGGATATCTGTACCGTGATGACATTTGGGGGATATCTGTACCTGTCCTGACATTTGGGGGATATCTGTACTGTTCTGACATTTGGGGGATATCTGTACTGTCCTGACATTTGGGACATTTGGGGGATATCTGTACTGTTCTGACATTTGGGGGATATCTGTACTGTCCTGACATTTGGGGATACCTGTACCGTTCTGACATTCTTGGACCTCAAGAAATTAGATTGGCTGTCAGTACTTCAGGATTGATCAATATTCAGATCTATACCATAGTTTGTGAACTCTATAACTTTCCTACAAACTAAAAAATACATCCTAATTTGGGTTATTTTCACCAAAGACATGTAGCAGAATACATCTCGGCCTAAATTTATGAAGAACAATTATTTATTTGTAAACTTTATAACAGTGTGAAGAAAATGATAAAATTTTATTTTGGGTACAATGTTGTATGACTGCGCAATTGTCATTCAAAGTGTGAGAGCGCTGAAACCTGAAAAATGGCCTGGGCAGGAAGGGGGTAAAATTGCCCGGTATGGAAACGGTTAAACTTGGTGAGGCCGGTCTTAACAAGCCCTCTGCAGAGCATGTATGTAGCAAGCTGTGACATGTCCGTGTTTTCAGATTTTGGGTGCATGACTGCAGGAGGAACAGAGTTGGTTGTGACGGTTGGTGGACTTACGTGAAGTGACTTGGGAACATATGTTGCTGCGAAGGCATTCAATGCCAGAGCTGGCTTAGAGTCCATTGGCATGTTAGTTTGTAGAGTGGTGTGTTTGCTGGGAGGTCAAAGTATGATGGACGGTCTGTTAAATACACCCCAGTGTCTGCGGCTGGCTGAGATGCTGCAGTCTGATGTATTGGAGAATACTGTATAAGGGAAATCATCCTGAGGTACAGGAGGTGCAGAGAAGAGACTTTGATGGAGTAGTTTGGCTGCTGTGACAGGAAGTTGACGTTCTGGAGAGATGTGTGAAGAATCTGAGACATAACATACAACTGAGTGTCTGGAACTGTTGTCTCTTGTTTTTACTAGCGGCTTGTTCTAAGACCCAGAACCTTGCCATGGCTGTGGCTGCTCACATTGTTGTTCCAAAACTTCAATTTCTGCCTTTTGGTGGGTGGCTTTAGTGTCTTTCTCTGCTGCCTGAGCCTCCATTCCTGCTTTCGTATGTGCGGCCTGAGCCTCCATTTCTGCGGCCTGAGCCTCCATTCCTGCTTTCGTATGTGCGGCCTGAGCCTCCATTCCTGCTTTCGTGTGTGCAGCCTGAGCCTCCATTTGTGCGGCCTGAGCCTGAGCCTCATTTCTGCAGCCTGAGCCTCCATTCCTGCTTTCGTATGTGCGGCCTGAGCCTCCATTCCTGCTTTCGTATGTGAGGCCTGAGCCTCCATTCCTGCTTTCATATGTGCGGCCTGAGCCTCCATTTGTGAGGCCTGAGCCTCCATTCCTGCTTTCGTATGTGTGGCCTGAGCCTCCATTTGTGAGGCCTGAGCTTCCATTTCTACAGCCTGAGCTTCCATTTCTGCTTTCGTATGTGCGGCCTGAGCCTCCATTTCTGCGGCCTGAGACTCCATTTCTGCGGCCTGAGCCTCCATTTCTGCAGTCTGAGCCCCATTTCTGCGGCCTGAGCCTCCATTTCTGCAGTCTGAGCCCCCATTCTGCGGCCTGAGCCTCCATTTGTGCGGTCTGAGCCTCCATTTCTGCGACCTGAGCCTCCATTTCTGTGGCCTGAGCCCCCATTTCTGCTGCGGCCTGAGCCTCCATTTCTGCAACCTGAGCCTCCATTTCTGCAGCCTGAGCCTCCATTTCTGCGGCCTGAGTCTCCATTTCTGCGGCTTGAGCCTCCATTTCTGCGGCCTGAGCCGCCATTTCTGCTTTCTTCTGGTGAAAGCTGCCTGAATTTTAGAATCTTCACCATCAGCACGGCTTTTATTAGTTGCTGACTGAGTGCAGAGAACCTTGATTGTATGGATTGGGAAGATCTTGAGGAGTGTCTAGTAGACGCAGAGCGATCAGATCTGGATTCATGGAGATGTTATTCTCACTTCTGCCTCTGTCTTTGTTCTCACCACTAAATTGTCTCTTCAGGATTGAGCTCCTGAACCCCTTAATCCTCCAATGACTCCTGAGTGTTGTACGGCTGTAACAGACCAATATATGTAACACAGTCTTTTATAATTCTCAGAGGCAACATTCAATTGCTGGATAGCGCCCTCTAGGTGTAATGACTCATGAGATTGTTGGGGGAGGGGCAGACATGCGTTTACCAGTATTACACCACAAGTCATTAATATTACACAGCAATTCTGACTTGTCAGCATTAAGATTTTCTTGCACTTTAACTGACAATTGCGCGGTCATGCAACGCTGCACCCTAATGAAATTTACCTCCCTAAAACAAAATCTAATTTCATCCTAAATTTCAACCAATATGTATTCTGCTCCATGTCTTTGGTAAAAATAATCCCAATACGTGTAAATTAATTGGTTTACGTGAAAGTTATAGCGTCTACAAATGGTGGTGTACATACTGGGATTTTTTTTATACTAGTAATGGTCAGTGACTTATAGTGGGACTGCGGTGGGCATTCTGACACTGGAGGGAACTGACTTGGTGTCACTGACATCTCCAGTGACACCAATACAGTGATCAGTGCTAATAAAAAGCACTGACACTGTACTAATGGCACTGGGCAGGAAGGGGTTAACATCTGAGGCAATCAAAGGGTTAACTGTGTGCTGTTTCACTATGGGGGCTGTGTGTGTGCTTCACTGTGCGCACACTGCTATGCAGAGCCATACAAAGCAGTGCGCAGGAGCTGACAGGGGAGAGATCTGTATTGTTTATACACAGATCTCTCCCCCATCAGTGATCACCAATGTAAGGGACCACTACACTGACCACTGATATAAGGGGGTCCTTCTCCCATTGGTGACCAATGTAAGGGATCACTACACTGACCACTGATATAAGGGGTCCTTCTCCCATTGGTCACCAATGTAAGGGACCACTACACTGACCACTGATATAAGGGGGTCCTTCTCCCATTGGTCACCAATGTAAGGGACAAATACAATGACCACTTGGGATGATCTCTGGGTTTAGTGGTCGGAGAGTAGGGATGAGACGACAGTACAAACCAAACTTTGCCTGTTCCGGTCCCGTGTTTTGCAGGAGCCGATCATCACATATAGAAGAGACATTTCTACCACTTCTATATATAACAGCTTCCCGCTGTCACTGGTGGTGTCTGAGGAAGACATGGATGGTTACAGCGGCCACACACCCCAGGAATCAGTGATGTCATTGGGAATCCCTGCCATGTAAGGAAGGGGGCGGGGATAGCAGTGACATCACTGACCAAATATGGTCACTGGTCACATTTGGGTAATAAGGTCCCACCATCCCTGTCCCTTCACTTATGTAGATGATGACAGTTTAGGGAGCTGTCATTGGGCTGGTGCTATTGTCGGGTACTATATACCCCATACTCATTCACATGGGGGGGACGGTATATGGGGGCCCCTTGTTATTAAAGGGGTTTCCAGAATCCAATATGACCCCCGCCCACAGCCAAGGTGACAAGGTGCTATGCCTGGGGGAATCCCCCCTGGTAAGGTGACCCCCATGTTGTGGACATGTGGCCTGGTATGGATCAGGAGGGGGGGGCACACTACAGCCCCCCTCTGCACTCTGTATGGTGGGCTGTATATGATATACTGCTGACCCCCGCACTCTGCGCCGTTATTGAAGGGTGTGAGGTGTCACCGAGGAGCAATGTTCTATATTGAAGTTTGCCGTCATTGCACCGACACACACAATAGTTTTTGTTCAATAAATGTTTTATTATAATTTTACATTTAACAAGATTGAAGCATAAAAATCAGGAAATAGTAAAGGAAGGAATCCGATTGGTCAGGAGATCCCTTGTCTGGAATGTGGGGGCGGAGTCATTATTATTGGTGTACAATACAATACACAACGTGTTCCATTATTATAACAAAGTATTGTAGAAAAGATCCCAACATAGAAAATGGGGGAAAGGAGGAAATAAAGGCGGATATGAAGGGGAATCTGTGTACGGGGAACACCTTAACAATCACCACCATTGTATTCTCCAGGGCCTCTGATGTCACAGAATAGATGTTTTGGGGTTTATCTCATCTTCAGGACCAAAATCTGCATTTTCCCATGTGTGCAAAATCATGCAGAAACAGCTCTGGCAGTGAGAGGGTTAATGTGGGCTAGATGGGATCCCTCTGCTGGGGTGACATTAGAGCTCCCCCTAGCTGCAGCCTGGTAATAACATTGCTGGGAGGTCTCTTCATTTCTCTGCTCCATACTTCCCGTCTTTATAGAAACGTCTCCTGACATTTGGGGGTCTATTCATAGAATGTTTGTATAGCAATTCCCTCAGTGAGAGTTCATGTCCATTCCTCCTGTGTGAATGGGGGAACCCAATGTTATTAGGATCACATCTGAGCTGCTGGAATGTCTTCCATTGATGGAAAATACATTGAAAACTTCTCCTGCCATCAATGGCCGACCCCGGTCCCACACTTCATCCATGTCTTTGGGGGCCTCTGATCTCCTTATGAACTGTTTCTTCCATGATGAAGATCAGCCATGGAGTATATCTGAGGTGTATATCAGGGGGTGCTTCTTCCCCACATGAGAGCTGGGATGTCCAGCAACATTCATCTAGAAGACATTTCCCGCACTCAAGGCACTAATACACCTCCAGGGTTGTGTGGGACCCCTGATGTACAGGAAGACAGGACTTCAGTGAGGAACATTTCCCTCACTCAGGACAGAAAAGTGGCTTCTTCCTCGTGTGAGATTTCTGATGTTTGGAAAGATGGGACTTCCGTGAAAAACATTTCCCGCACTCAGGACAGGAATATGGCTTCTCCCCCGTATGACATCTCTGATGTGTGTAAAGACTGGACTTCCATGAAAAACATTTCCCACACTCAGGGCAGGAATACAGCTTCTCTCCCTGTGTGAGATTTTTCTGATGGTTGTAAAAATTGCACTTCACAGAAAAACATTTCCCACACTCAGTACAGGAATATGGCTTTTCCCCTGTGTGAGATCTCTGATGTGTTTGCAGACTGGACTTCACTGAAAAACATTTCCCGCACTCAGAACAGGCAAACGGCTTCTCCCTGTGTGAGATTTCTGATGCCTGTGAAGAACACACTTCTCTGAAAAAACATTTCCCACACTCAGGACAGGAATATGGCTTCTCCCCTGTGTGATATCTCTGATGTGTGTGAAGATAGGACTTTTCTGAAAAACATTTTCCGCACTCAGAACAGACATACGGCTTCTCCCCTGTGTGAGATTTCTGGTGCCTGTAAAGAATACGCTTCTCTGAAAAACATTTCCCACACTCAGGACAGGAATATGGCTTTTCCCCTGTGTGATATTTCTGATGTGTGTGCAGACTGGACTTCTCTGAAAAACATTTCCCGCACTCAGGACAGGAAAATGGCTTCTCTCTTGTGTGAGTCTTTTTTATGACGATTAACACGGAATTTAGAAGGAAAAACATTTCCCGCACTCAGGACAAGAATACGGCTTCTCCCCTGTGTGAGATCTCTGATGTGTGTGAAGACTGGACTTTACTGAAAAACATTTTCCACACTCAGGACAGGAATACGGCTTCTCCCCTGTGTGAGATCTCTGATGTGTGTGAAGACTGGATTTGTCTGAAAAACATTTCCCACACTCAGGACAGGAATATGGCATCTCCCCCGTGTGAGATTTCTGATGTCTGAGAAGAATAGAATGATCTGAAAAAACATTTCCCACACTCAGGACAGAAATACGGCTTCTCCCCAGTGTGAGTTCTCTTATGCACATTAAGATTGTTTTTTCAGTAAAAAACCCTTCCCGCACTCAGGACAGGAATACGGCTTCTCCCCCGTGTGAGATCTTTTATGCACATAAAGACTGGATCTATAATGGAAACCTTCTCACACTCAGGACAGGAGAACCTCTTCCCTGTTGGAAGGCCGGCCCGGTCCCGCACAGTCTGAGGTTCCTCAGGATCCGAGGAATCTGATGGCCCATCTACACTGGGTGGTGCCGGATGGACATTGGAGGGAGCCGGGTTTTCTCCTGGACTATACTGTGTGATGTCCTCATCTTCTACTTTCCAGTCTGGAGACAAAGTGAGACAATCCTCGGAGGTTTTCCTCATCTCCCGGCCATGGACTAAAATACAAAGACAAAGAGGATTACTAGACAGGAGCTGATTGGTTCCCCCAAACCAGGACTCCGCCCACATCAGGCAGCTTGGTCTCTGAGGAGCTTACAATTCCACCCTCAAGGGAACTAGGAAATGGCTCCTCTGATCTCCTACCAGGTCATTTCTTTATTCATGGACCTTAGTCAGAGAGTGAGGAAACAACCAGAACTGTCTTTTATAGGAGGGACAGTGATGAGGGGATTATAGGACGAGGGTCCCCACCCCCTCTATCACTCATCGCCATCTTCCCAACACAAGAAGTACTGCACTTCCTTATTTAGTCCATGATTTAGTCATGAAGAACAGCGGGGCTGAGCCCCACCAGAGAGTCAGAGAGTGAGGATGGGGGGAGAACAACCAAGATGAAGACTGGACTGATCCTGAAGACCACCATCATTGGGGTATTGACTCCTCCCTCATTATCACTTTCTGTTTAAGGGTCCAAAGTTGGAGGATGTTTATCACATTATTATCACCATGTAAAAGTCTGTGCTCCAATCACATCATCCGATATAAAATGTCCAGCTGGGAGGAAAAGGGTGTGACAAAAGAGAATCCATATTATGTGTATATATAGCAGTGGGGGGAGGGGGAGAGCAAGAATTCAGTTCTATGGAATGTACAACAGAGTATATAGTGCAGGGGTCAGGAGTATGTAATGTACAACATAGAGTATATAGTGCAGGGGTCAGGAGTATGTAATGTACAACATAGAGTATATAGTGCAGGGGTCAGGAGTATGTAATGTACAAGACTAAATCATAAATACTAATTTGGGTTATTTTCACCAAAGAAATGTAGCAGAATCAGGAGTATATAATGTAATGTACAACATAGAGTATATAGTGCAGGGGTCAGGAGTATGTAATGTACAATATAAAGAGTTTTATACAGTGTAAGGGTCAGGGCTCATAATATTGGTATTCAGTAATCAGTGGAAGATTAAATGTTTACTGTAGAAAAGTTGCAGAGATCCCACACCGCTGCCTCCCCATCTCCTGAGACTGCACTCAGTGACTTGGGTCTGAGACACTACAGACATATCCCTCCACCCGGCACAGCCAGCAGATAACAGAGCAAACAGAGGATAACAGAGAAACCCTGGGAGAAATGTTCTGTCAGAGATCTTACTAGACCCGGGCGTGGGGAAGAAGACCCAAATCAAACACCCCAGGGGCCTAACTCTAGTAACACCTATGGGGAAAATCAACATTTTGCTGCAGCTGAACCCCAGAACCTCCATAAATCCAGTCTAGATACATAAATTGTGTCTGCAGCACAGAGAAGGAAGATTATCCGAGAGAAATCCAGGAATACAGGACGGGGAACACAGCTCAGGAAAGTGACCAGGGGATTACAGGCTGATATCACCCAGTCCCCGCCCTACTCTGGACCAATCAGTGAGCAGCAGTATGGGTGGAGGAATGGATTTAGTGTTCATGACCCACCTGTGCTGATCTCTGTAGGAGTGTCCTCCTCTATAAATGTCCCCGTTATTCCATCCTCCTCCATAGACTGCTGATCATCCCTCACATACGCCTCTTCTTCTTCTGCTTTCACCTCAAATTCTTCTATATCGATTGGATCTCCACTCTAAATCAAGGAAATGAGAGAAAATATCATCTGTAAAATATATGAGGTCACCTAAAAAAAAAAAAAAAACACACATCACCTTTACAAGTCCATGTTTTAGATTCTCCATCCCACCACCATTGCCTTGTAATGGTGAGGGATGGTGTGACCTTCCTGTGTGGAATCCCGGGAATACAGAGGACGGGGACATCTCTCTGGTGGGTTCCTGTAGCTGGATGACTCCACCATGGTGTCCTGGTACAGATCTTTGTGTTCTTTGAAGCTCTAACTCCTCCATCCCCCCATCCTCATCCTCCTCCTCTTTTATCTCTTCTTTAACCTCAACTTTAGGATCTCTCAGGTTTCCACTCTGAATATATAATAAAAATGCCATCAATGGTAACAATGCAGATAATGTACAGATCCTAATGATACTATCAGTGATTGTTCCTATCATCTACCTGATGATGGTGAGGGATGGTGTGACCTTCCTGTGTGGAATCCCGGGAATACAGAGGACGGGGACATCTCTCTGGTGGGTTCCCATGACTGGATCCATCTGTAGGAAACACACACACTGACTGAATCCATTGTTTCTATGTGTTTATCAGATGATGGGGGATCTAGGTGGATCCTCCGTACTGCTCTCTCCTTTACAATAAAGTCTCCTCTTACCCGGTGATGTGAGGGGCGGCTGATTGTCCATCATGACGTCCTTGTAGAGATCCTTGTGTCCTTCTAAATACTCCCACTCCTCCATGGAGAAATAGACAGTGACACCCTGACACCTTATAGGAACCTGACACACACAATGATACAGTCACCATCCAGACACATCCCTTGTCTGTTACTGGAGAATGTCCCAGAATTCCCGGCACCGCTCACCTCTCCTGTCAGCAGCTCAGTGATCTCTCTGGTGACTTCTAGAATCTTCTTCTTCTTTCTCTCTTCTATCAGGGAGGGAGGTGGAGGCAATGTGATGTCATATGATCTCCAGACTTCACAGGAGGAAAACTCTACACATCTGAACACAAATAGTCACATCAAATGATATTCCCAGAATCCTCCTCACCTCTCCATTCAGGTCTCCATTTTATTAAAGCCCCACTTCAGGCTGAGGTATAATTCCCCCCCCCACAGGACCCCCACCACTACGCAGGTTAAAAATTTGTCATAAGCTTTTGTGGCATCATTACATACAATAAAGGACAAACAGTCACAACTTGCTACTGAGTTGTGTCCCAGATGCCCACACAATCAAGACTTCTAGATTTCTTCTTCTTTCTCTCTTCTATCTGGGAGGAGGTGAGGAGAAGGGATGCATATGGATTCTCCACTTCATCAGGGGAAAACTCTACATCCTGTGAACACAAATAGTCATGTCAAATGATATTCCCAGAATCCTCCTCACCCTCTCCATTCAGGTCTCCATTTTATTAAAGCCCCACTTCAGGCTGAGGTATAATTCCCCCCACAGGACCCCCACACTACGCAGGTCAAAAATGTCATAAGATATCTGTGGCATCATTACATACATGGAGGACAAACAGTCATGACATCCTAAGAGCTCATGTCAGGATTCTCTGACTCTGGATGGAGGGACATTGGAGGAGGAGCTGTGAGGTCAGTGTGATGTCATAGGATTCTCTGACTCTGGATGGAGGGACATTGGGAGGAGGAGCTGTGAGGTCAGTGTGATGTCATAGGATTCTCTGACTCTGGATGGAGGGACATTGGGAGGAGGAGCTGTGAGGTCAGTGTGATGTCATAGGATTCTCTGACTCTGGATGGAGGGACATTGGGAGGAGGAGCTGTGAGGTCAGTGTGATGTCATAGGATTCTCTGACTCTGGATGGAGGGACATTGGGAGGAGGAGCTGTGAGGTCAGTGTGATGTCATAGGATTCTCTGACTCTGGATGGAGGGACATTGGGAGGAGGAGCTGTGAGGTCAGTGTGATGTCATAGGATTCTCTGACTCTGGATGGAGTGACATTGGGAGGAGGAGCTGTGAGGTCAGTGTGATGTCATAGGATTCTCTGACTCTGGATGGAGGGACATTGGGAGGGGAGCTGTGAGGTCAGTGTGATGTCATAGGACGTATAGACTCTGGATGGAGGGACATTTGGATGGGGAGATTTGAGGGGTCCTCTATATGAGGCTCTCATGCAAACCAAATCCTTGTTCCTGGGTGCGTCCTACCTCTCCTAAACTGAAGAGTGAACTTTGACCTTTACCATCCAGAAATCTGTCCGAATCTGTGGAAGTAAGCTGTCATGTGATCAGGTGACGTGCGGAGGAACGGAGTGTAAATAGCAGACAATTGTCTCCAGAGCCCCTAATGGTGGGGATGGATTTGGCGGCGTGCTGGTGCCAAGTTTCCTCCCCCCAGGGTCACTGCAGGTGTGGAGAAAAGCTGTGTAAGAGGATATGGAGGAGAGATAAGGAGGAGGAGATCCAGGAATCAGGAGAAAGGTCAGGGCAAGCAACAGACGAGCGCATCCAAGAGACCAAGCCGGGGTCACTACACAGAAAATCAATCCAAGGAAACAACAGGCAGGACGAGGAATAGCAAGAAGGAGCTGAGAGACAAATGAGAATATTGCTCAGCCAATGGGAGATGATCTCAGCATGACTTCCATCATGAAGGAGATGAGGGGGAGGGGAGGAAGTCACTGAAGGTGACCATAGATCCATGGAAATTCAGCTGGTTCAGCAGGGATCGCTCACATTTCCATCCATGTGTGGCCACTGCCGGATAAAAGCCACTCCCCCAGCGGCTGCAGCCAATAGCTTCAGTGCTGATCCGTGTATTCTGAGAGCGGAGGAGTCCCCCCATTGTCAGAATACAAGAGTGCAGCGGGGAGGATTCCCCCATCCACCTCCAATGTGTGGATGGGGGAATCACTTCAGTTTTTATGGTCATCCCGCTGGCTGAACGATAAAACTGAACCATGTAGGCCAGCTTTGGGAGCAAATATATTATCATCAACTCCTCCCCCTGAAGGGGTTCATCTACGTATTACCTCCTCTGCTGCCAGATCCAGGAATGTGGACTCTCGGCTTCCTCCCTGATTCACCTCTCCCCTGGAACTTCCTGTCTATACTTGACATCACTTCCTGTCTGCAAAAAATCAAAGGGGCCAAAATCCCTCCCCCGAGCAGTCATATATTTCTGTCCCCCTTGGTGGGAGTGGAGGTGACCCCTCTATAAGGATCTACAGTCCATACACACCCAGCACAAGGCCGGGGTCACACCACCAGACGCTTCTCGGGGCTGCAGTTCCTCTGAGCTCCACAAGGTGGGGATCTCACTTCTACCCAGACAGGAAGTCTCTATGGAAGACAGACAGGAAGTGATGTCAGGGACAGAGAGGAAGTGATGTCAGGTACAGACAGGAAGCAGATCGGAGACGTTGCTGGAAGTGGCAGCAGAGGATTAATAAGAGATGTTATCTTCTATTTACACCCAGTAACCCCCCGTCATGTCCTCCATAGTCCGTCCTCTTCTTCCTCCATAGTCACGTCCTCTCCTCTTCCTCCATAGTCACGTCCGTCCTCTTCCTCCATAGTCACGTCCGTCCTCTTCCTCCATAGTCACGTCCGTCCTCTCTTCCTCCATAGTCACGTCCGTCCTCTTCCTCCACAGTCCGTCCGTCCTCTCCTCCATAGTCACGTCCGTCCTCTTCCTCCATAGTCACGTCCGTCCTCTAGTCTCCATAGTCACGTCCGTCCGTCCTCTTCCTCCATAGTCACGTCCGTCCGTAGTCACGTCCGTCCTCCTCCATAGTCACGTCCGTCCTCTCCCCCATAGTCACGTCCGTCCTCTCCCTCCATAGTCACGTCCGTCCTCTTCCTCCATGTCACGTCCGTCCTCTTCCTCCATGTCACGTCCGTCCTCTTCCTCCATAGTCACGTCCGTCCTCTTCCTCCATAGTCACGTCCGTCCTCTTCCTCCATAGTCACGTCCGTCCTCTTCCTCCATAGTCGTGTCCGTCCTCTTCCTCCATAGTCGTGTCCTCCGTCCTCTTCCTCTTCCTCCATAGTCGTGTCCGTCCTCTTCCCTCCATAGTCGCGTCCGTCCTCCTCCCTCCCGTCCTCTATAGTCGCGTCCGTCCTCTCCCTCCATAGTCGCGTCCGTCCTCTCCCCATAGTCACGTCCGTCCTCTCCCTCCATAGTCACGTCCGTCACGTCTCTCCCTCCATGGTCACGTCCGTCCTCTTCCTCCATGGTCACGTCCGTCCTCTTCCTCCATGGTCACGTCCGTCCTCTTCCTCCATGGTCACGTCCGTCCTCTTCCTCCATAGGTCACGTCCGTCTCTCCTCCATAGTCGTCCGTCCTCTTCCTCCATAGTCGTGTCCGTCCTCTTCCTCCATAGTCGTGTCCGTCCCTCCTCTCCATAGTCGTGTCCGTCCTCTTCCTCCATAGTCGTCCGTCCGTCCTCTTCCTCCATAGTCACGTCCGTCCTCTTCCTCCATAGTCACGTCCGTCCTCTCCTCCATCCTCCATAGTCACGTCCGTCCTCTTCCTCCATAGTCTCCGTCCTCTTCCTCCATAGTCACCGTCCTCCGTCCTCTCCCTCCATAGTCACGTCCTCCCCTCCATAGTCACGTCCGTCCTCTCCCTCCATAGTCACGTCCGTCCTCTCCTCCATAGTCACGTCCGTGTCCGTCCGTCTTCCTCCATAGTCACGTCCGTCCTCTTCCTCCATAGTCATGTCCGTCCTCTTCCTCCCATAGTCACTGTGACGTCTTTTATCTCCAGCAGATGATGATACACACATATATAGTGTGGGAACCCAGATGAACCCCTTCAGGGGCAGAACATTCCCCCACTTCCGGGGCCGGAACATTCTCCTCATTGTGGAGATAAATTCTAGTAATATGGTCCTCTAAACAAACAGCACTGACAATAAATAGACAAGACAAGGACCATCCTCCTGACCATACATGGCCTACAAAGGGCAATGATGACACTACACAGGCAGCCAATGGGCAATCATTACACTATGCAGCCAACACAATGATGGAGTGCCGGGGTCAGGAGTATGGAGCATAGAGCCCCTTACATTGCTGCTCAGGAGGAAGAAAACATTCCCCAGCCGGCCATGGAGAACATGTTCCATCATTGGTGTCAGAGGGAGGGAAATACTGAGGGGTTTGATGGATGAAGGAGAGCTGAGGGGTCTCTCAGGGGGCACTACAGATAAGGAACTTTGGGGCCCCTGAGGGGGTAGTGGAGCTCAGGGCCTTAAGGAGGAAGAGTAGTTGAAGGACTCTGGGCCCTTGGTGGGCACTCTTCTTAGAGGAGGTCTGTATGCTCAGCATTGCCTAAAAGGTAGTCAGGGGATCAGTGCTATACATCTTCAGGAGACACTCCAATACCTTCCCATGACACAGGCTCTGGCAGTGCCCGGTGCTGGAATTCAGAGCCCCAGGAACCCACCACCACTCTGTACAATGTCCTGGATTCCAGAGAATACTTGGCAACCAAGAGAACCCCCTACTGTCCTCCTACCCACACTGGGCTGCCATTGGAGGGAAGAGAACAGACTCCTCCCCCACAGCTCTCTACTCCACCAGCACCATCCTCCTGCTATCCAATCCAATCCCTTCTCTTACTGCAGAGAGTGACAGTGACATCACTCCTGTCAGTCAGCAGGCTGCTGGAGATTGGAGCCTTGCAGCCGGAGGTCTGCCAATTATCCTG